GGCTGAAATCCTATATCAAGCAAGAATGAGAAAACATTTCACTTTCAAAACTACAGCAGTTGGTCTCCTTAGTTCCCAAAAGCTTACACTTCCAGTGTGAAAGTTTGGGCCCAGAGAAGGCGGCGACATTTCTAGTTCCTGTTTATATGTGGTTTCTTCTTTTCAAGACATTCTTTTCAAGACAGACTTGCATTTGTGGATGTAGTGATGAACTGTTTTCACAGACAGTGGTTTTCAGAAGTGTTTCTGAGCCCATGCAGTGATTTCCACTAGAGAATCATGTCTGTTTTTAATGCAGTGGTCTTGTCTCTTTCAGAGATTACAGCAACACATTTTTGAAAAGTTCACAGTTCTAAAACTGAGAGTCTGTATGACCTAGATACCATTGTATTATTTTTATTCATTTTTAGCATTCCATATGTAAACAAGTGTAAGCAAATTGTCAAAATAAAGAAATCTGCTTTGCCCTCTATGAAAATCTTCTATATCACTCTTATTGAGCTCTACCATTGGACAGTAAATACATGTTCAGATTCTGTTCCCCTCTCCCCCTGCCACCCCCACAAGTGTCCTCTGGCACTTGCCTGCTGATATTGTAAGTAAGCATTCTGTTCTTAATATATTGCCTGGTAAAATAACTGTTAAAATAAAAAATAAAGGTTTTTCAAAATCTGGATCATGAATGTGTTGATTGTTGTTTCATCTGGAGTGCTGGAACCTATCCCAGCAGTCACTGGAAGGAAGGCAGGAAACACCCTGGACATGTCACCAGTCCATCACAGGGCAGACTTCACAAATACAGTGCTGTGCAACAACATGCAGACATGTCTGAGCATTATAGCAAAACAAATTAGGTGAAAATCAGTTGAGCATTAAGGAAGTTGTTTAGTCATAAAAACTCATCATCTCTCAGTACACGTGTAGTTTATAAGCGGAATTTTTATGCTCCAACATAGCGGATTTACAGACGTATCGCCTCAGACTGAGAACAACTGACAACAGCTGTGTATGTATATCTATGGTTATTTGCTTAATGAAATCAAAAGTATGCACAGACAGCTGTTTTAGTGTTAATGGCCTGAGCACAGTCATCAGGACCATATGATGAACACACAGTGGGACTGATCATGTGGATTGCTTTTCAGTTGTATTTTTCAGTGATTTTATCATACATGATGTTATATTGTCCATGGTTTAGGTTCACTACAGTGGTTCACTGTGTGCAAATGTGCTATAATGTAAAGCTATTTAAATCCATCATCATTATATTCTTTTACAATTAATGTACCAACAGTCCACCAACCAACCTGGAAAAAATTTACACTGCACACTACACAGATTTTATGAACTGGACCTGATTTGACATTGGTGAATAATGTTTGGGACATAGTTTCTTGTTACATTTGAGCAAAATTTGCCAGTTAAACTTGGTCCAGACTTGGGCCAGAGCAATTTTGCTCTGAGGCTTGAGCTGGAGCAACCTCTGAGGATACAGTAGGAACACTTTCTGAGTTTAAGTCTGGAGCAATCTCTGAGGCTAGAGTTGTCACAATCTCTAAGGCTAGAGGTGGAGCAAACTTTGGGCCAGCCCAGTAGGCAGATGAGTCTTGGGCAGTTCAATCCACAGGTGTCGCGGATCCAACTAAATCTGAAGCACAATGTAATCTTGCTTAATTGCAGTGTTTAGGCACTGTATCATGGGAGATGGGGACTGTTAAGGGAGTTATTACCTGAAATTCAAGGCTTTAAAATGTGTCATTACTTGTCTTTAAAGATAGCATTAGCTTAGCAATTTGAATGTAGCCTACATTCTTTGCACTTGTTAAATCTGTAGGCCTGTTTTACCAACTAATAGGTTTAAATTAACAATTTAACCAGATTTTTTTCAGTGGGTAGCACTGTTGCCTCACAGCAAGAAGGGCTTGGGTTCGATTCCCCAGCCGGGTGACTAGGTTCCTTTCTGTGTGGAGTTTGCATGTTCTCCGCTTGTCTATGTAGGTTTCCTCCCACAGTGCAAAGACATGCAGTCAGGCCAATTGGAGATGCTAAATTGCTTCTAGGTGTGTATATGGCTGTGTGTCTGCCCTGTGATGGACTAGCAACCTGTCCAAAGTGTTTCCTGCCTTCCACCCAGTAAGTGCCAGGATAGGCTCCAGAACCCCTCCCCTGCCCCATAGGATAAGCAGCTTAGATGATGAGTGAAAGGTTGAGTTTTTATTGTTGACATATTTCAGTAAAAAAAGATGTTTTTTCAGGCCAGGTTGTAAACTCTTGGTACTCTTGCACATTCAGTATGAAAAGATACTGAAATGCTGATACTGCTTATGATTCAGTAACTACATGCACTACAGTGCAGACCTCCTGAGTTAGTCTTAAAGGCGAATTCCATTGATTTTTCCAAATTTCTGTAAAATCCAATCTTTGAGATGTGAACTTGTGTCATTCAGAGAGCTGTGATGTGAAATGATTCATTGTAGAAAAACAGACTCACATTTCTTTACAGTGGTGGTGATGGGAACCAAGGGTTATAGTGTCTGCAATGGAAATAAAGCCATTTCATTTACTATTCAACCAGTGAAACTACACATCTTTTGAGTTTGGTGTATGTATAATGTTCATAACTAAGAGATAAGCCTGATTTTTTCTTTGCTATTTTGGCTTCTAGCAATCTGCATAAAACTTTCTGCCATAAATGGATTTTTAAAAATACATTTTAGACAAGTTGCATATCCCAAAACTTAATCTTAATACAAGGTCTCAGTCATCAGACAATGTATTAATAGTCATTTTCATGTAAAAATGTGGAGTAGTCTCCAGATGTAGAGCAACTTATTGAAGTGCATTACTTTACAATGTTAGTAATAGGAACCAGGGGTCACAATGTCCACAATGCCATTTTATATTTACTGTCCAAAATGACCAGCGAATGAACATGAATCTTCTGAGCTTTTTTGTGTAATGTTTACAACTGTAAAACAGTGGTAAATCTGAAAAACAACAAGTTTTCTTTGTGTACTATTTTGCGTTGTAACAGCTTGCATGTACCTCACATCATGAATGTATTTTAAAAAGTATATTTTAGGTCAAAATTTGCAGTCTCCGCTCTAATTAATCCCAAAGGTGTTCTATTGGGTTGAGGTCAGGACTCTGTGCAGGCCAGTCAAGTTCTTCCACACCAAACTCGCTCATCCATGTCTTTATGGACCTTGCTTTGTGCACTGGTGTGCAGTCATGTTGGAACAGGAAGGGGCCATCCCCAAACTGTTCCCACAAAGTTGGGAGCATGAAATTGTCCAAAATCTCTTGGTCTGCTGAAGCATTAAGAGTTCCCGAGCCCAACTCCTGAAAAACAACCCCACACCATAATCCCCCCTGCACCAAACTTTACACTTGGCGCAATGCAGTCAGAAAATTACCGTTTTCCTGGCAACCGCGAAACCCTGACTCGTCCATCGGATTGCCAGGCGGAGAAGCGTGATTCGTCACTCCAGAGAACACGTCTCCACTGCTCTAGGGTCCAGTTCGCTTTACACCACTGCACTCGACGCTTTGCATTGCACTTGGTGATGTAAGGCTTGGATACAGCTGCTCAGCCATGGAAACCCATTCCATGAAGCTCTCTGTGCACTGTTCTTGAGCTAATCTGAAGGCCACATGAAGTTTGGAGGTCGGTAGCGATCGACTCTGCAGGAAGTTGGCGACCTCTGTGCACTATGCCCCTCAGCATCCGCTGACCCTGCGCTGTCATTTTACGTGGCAGACCACTTCGTGGCTGAGTTGCTGTCGTTCCCAATCGCTTCCACTTCGTTATAATACCACTGACAGTTGACTGTGGAATATTTAGTAGCAAGGAAATTTCAGGACTGCACAGGTGGCGTCCTATCACGGTACCACGCGGGAATTCACTGAGCTCCTGAGAGCGACCCATTCTTTCACTAATGTTTGTAGAAGCAGTCTGCATGCCTAGGTGCTTGATTTTATACACCTATGGCCATGGAAGTGATTGGAACACCTGAATTCAATGATTTGGATGGGTGAATGAATACTTTTGGAAATATATTATATATATATATATATATATATATATATATATATATATATATATATATATATATATATATACACACACACACTGCTCAAAAAAATAAAGGGAACACTTAAACAACACAATATAACTCCAAGTAAATCAAACTTCTGTGAAATCAAACTGTCCACTTAGGAAGCAACACTGATTGACAATCAGTTTCACATGCTGTTGTGCAAATGGAATAGACAACAGGTGGAAATCATTGGCGATTAGCAAGACACACTCAATAAAGGAGTGGTTCTGCAGGTGGGGACCACAGACCACTTCTCAGTACCTATGCTTTCTGGCTGATGTTTTGGTCACTTTTGAATGTTGGTGGTGCTTTCACACTCGTGGTAGCATGAGACGGACTCTACAACCCACACAAGTGACTCAGGTAGTCCAGCTCATCCAGGATGGCACATCAATGTGAGCTGTGGCAAGAAGGTTTGCTGTGTCTGTCAGCGTAGTGTCCAGAGCCTGGAGGCGCTACCAGGAGACAGGCCAGTACACCAGGAGACGTGGAGGAGGCCGTAGGAGGGCAACAACCCAGCAGCAGGACCGCTACCTCCGCCTTTGTGCAAGGAGGAACAGGAGGAGCACTGCCAGAGCCCTGCAAAATGATCTCCAGCAGGCCACAAATGTGCATGTGTCTGCACAAACGGTTAGAAACCGACTCCATGAGGATGGTATGAGGGCCCGACATCCACAGATGGGGGTTGTGCTCACAGCCCAACACCGTGCAGGACGCTTGGCATTTGCCAGAGAACACCAGGATTGGCAAATTCGCCACTGGCGCCCTGTGCTCTTCACAGATGAAAGCAGGTTCACACTGAGCACATGTGACAGACGTGACAGAGTCTGGAGACGCCGTGGAGAGCGATCTGCTGCCTGCAACATCCTTCAGCATGACCGGTTTGGCAGTGGGTCAGTAATGGTGTGGGGTGGCATTTCTTTGGAGGGCTGCACAGCCCTCCATGTGCTCGCCAGAGGTAGCCTGACTGCCATTAGGTACCGATATGAGATCCTCAGACCCCTTGTGAGACCATATGCTGGTGCGGTTGGCCCTGGGTTCCTCCTAATGCAGGACAATGCTAGCGCTCATGTGGCTGGAGTGTGTCAGCAGTTCCTGCAAGATGAAGTCATTGAAGCTATGGACTGGATGTGTTATTTGAGTGTTCCCTTTATTTTTTTGAGCAGTGTATATATGTATAGAGAGAGAGAGAGAAAGAGAGAGAGAGAAAAACTTACACAGTCAGAATATATATATATATATATATATAATATATATTATATATAATATATATATATATATATATGAAAGGACAATGCATACTTTACTTTTAATGTCAGTCAGTGGAACCAGACATCTTTCCAAGTGATTTTGGACTGTTTCCTTTGGTTCATTCATCATGAAATTTACACACAATGTAAAAGACAACAGACATTTTTAAACTATGTCAAAAACTGGAAAATGACAAAAATGGAGATGCAAGGTTTCGTTCCAAGAGCAGCAATATATACTTGGGGACTACAGCCATGCAAAGTGGCTCTTGGGAGACAACAAAAACAGTCTGTTATTGTTGTTTGGTTTATTGGTAGTTGACTTTATTTAGAGTAACTGTGTTGAGGAGGATGGGCTTTGCAATAAACTAGTCGTTGGAAGTGTCTACCCTCCTCGAATGTTGGGTCCACCTGCGTTACCCTCTCCCTGTGTTTGAACTGGGCATTTCTGTTCAATGTAAGTTGATGAAAAGACTTTATTACACACAATTTTGCTGAATTTCTTTTGGTCCATTCGTCATCACGCTTTCACACAATGTAAAGGCCAGCTGATTTTCTCAAATTATGTCCAAACATTACATTTGGAGTGCAGTGTTATCTAGATTCACCTAAGTAACTAAGGATTATACATGAAATAGTATGTGTTACTAGATTCATATCAGTAAGATGAGTAAACCAAACTATATTAAGTTTAGTGAGGGCAACTGTTATGTTCTGCAGTGTAGAGAGGGGTTCCCACAAACCTGTAACACAGCATTTTAGGATCATTAAATAATCCTAATTTACAATCATTCCACACACTTTTAACCTTACTGTTTGAAATCCATTCAATGGCTTTTGAGTTCCTTTCACTTCTAATCATGCACCCATGGATTTACTCAGGTCAGTGAGCGTCTCATTTCCTTTTACAAATCACAAAGAAAACCACAAGAAAGAAGGTCTGAGAGGAACTGAATCTTCTCACCTTCCCAGCACTATTTAAACTCTTCTTCTTCTTTGAGGAGATCACTCTCTCTCTACAGCATCATGACTCATCTCTCTGCCTCTGCTGGCTGCTCTGCTGCTGTACCTGAGCTACTCTGATAAGTGTCACCTAAACATACTGACTTCCAGTACAATGCTTTTACCTATCTTACAGTCTGATTTCAGTCAGTAATTTGCCTGCAGTTTTCATGAACAAACATTGTGGCCTAAAATGAGTCTCGCTCACACAAAATTCACATAGAGATTAATTTAAAGTATGATTATATCCTTTTCACCTTCTTTCTCTCTCAGCCATTGTTAATGTTGGTTCAGTGAATATAGTGAATGGCACAGAGACTAAACCTCACTCCAGACCCTACAGGGTGTCTATGCAGAGGACCGATAGAGGACACATCTGTGGTGGCTTTCCTGTGTCTGAACGTTTCGTCATGATGGCTGCGCGCTGCTGAAACAGGTAAGCTTTTTTATTTATAGCTGCAGACACTTACAGAGGGATATTATAATGCACTTATTAAAAAAAGCTGTTTATTATTATCTGACAGCTTATTACTATGTTAAATTAAGCATTTTCTAGAACACTTGTGATGCGCTGATTAAGCCTTATCAAGCCAGTAGTAGGTAAATAACTATTATTTGTAATTAGTCATCGTTTGCACCTAAAGGAGGAGTAACTGATGGCTAATTACAAAGAGGAAGAAATCTCAAGAGGATCAAAGACTCAAAAGGGAAACTCATCCTCCTTTGGTTGACACTAGATGGCAAAACAATAATTAATATTAATTTATTATTCTGTTGATAAGAAGGTATAATGGATATGACTATGAAATTCAAAGAACTGCTCTTTTTTACATTTTGTCTTGCTCGCTCCTGGTCTCAGTCTTGACTTAGGCACAGTAAGGCTTTATCAAGTAGTTAAGTGCCAACTGGATCTCTATCCCTGAAACAGCGGAGGACATCAAACCCACATCGGCCTTCAGTCTGGTGGGATGGGGCAAAAAGGAACCATGAGGGTTTAAGTAGATTAAAGTCCTATTGGAAACGTGTCGGTATCATAGACAAGAAAAGATACAGATACAGATACAAACTCCGGCAGTCTCTAAACCCAAAAATGGTGTGTGCAGTTCATCCTGGAGTATGAAAAAAACACAGGCTGATGAAAACAGTCATCTTGTTTTGTCCTGATGCAACACATAAACTCATAATATGTACATTATGACTTTAGCAAGATAGTAATGTGTTTTTTTTTGTTTGTTCACAGGGAGACTCTGGAGGTCCTTTGGTGTGTAATAATACAGCAGTGGGTGAGGAATACACATCTGACAAGCCCATCAAGCCAGATACACACACACACACACACACACACACACACACACACACACACACACACACACATCATCTAAACCGCTTATCCTTCTGGGTCGCGGTGGGGCGCTGGAGCCTATCCCAGCTGTCATTGGGTGGAAGGCAGGATACACCCTGGACAGGTCGCCAGTCCATCGCAGGTCAGGCCAGATATTTACACCAAAATGACAGAACATTTGCCCTGGATTAAGTCTGTACTTGTAGCCTGCATGTGACAAGTAAAGCAAAATAGAAGAATTTGCCTAATTTCACCTCAATTAAGACATTTCTCATGCATATGTTTCAAGCATAATCATTGCTGAGTGATTTTCATGTAGCTGACAGTAGATTCCTCTCGTATGTCATACCATTTTATCCTCTTTATATATGCATGTTATAAAAGTTATGAATGTTACTCATAATTTAGAGTTAACTTACTCTACTCTCTCTTGTGCATGCAAAGAGATGTGCTGTATCAAGTGAGCTATTCCTTATACATCGGGCCTAGATTTGATCTTTTTCTTCTCAACTGTAGTCTAACTACTTGATAAGAGCAATAATGAATCTTCGTACAGTGAGGGACACCTGAGGACACTAGACTCATGATGATCCTTTTGGTCATATCTGGGCAGTGGTGGACAGTAACTAAGTAAATGTAATTCATTACTGTACTTAAGTAGTTTTTTCGTGTATCTTTACTGAAGTATTTCCATTTTTGGTGACTTTTTACTTTCACTCCAATACATTTCAAAGTCAAATATCTTACTTTTTATCCACTACATTATGTGAAATCTGTTGTTCCTTTTGGTTTATGTGTGTATAAAAAATGAAGCAAGAACACCAATCAGGGCACAGCGCGCACTTTGTTTTGAGCTTGTTTTGACCTGTTGGACATACCGACTCAGTGCAAGCATACGGTTGAACATCAGTGCAGCAGCGTAAAATTTTGGGAGCATCTATTCCAACATAAATGATGGAACTAACCTAACTTTGTGTAAATAGACCACAATATAGAAATATACACATATGCAGTTGTGACTGGCATGTGTCTTTTTTCTGAATTTATACAAACACTTTCATTTTTTACAGAGAAACAGCTCAGGATTGTAGTGACACACCAACAACGCTTCGCAATGAGTGGACCGAGAGTGTGAGTATTTATAGGGGAGTTGATGAACGGAGATTAACAACAGGTGTGGGTGAGTGGCAGTCAGAATTCTGGAGAGGATGACCTCTGGTGGCCAGTTCAGGAGTTGCACATGATAACCTAACGGAAATTGTTTGCCTTCAGTGTTTTGTGCTTATGATAATTTTAATAGACATCAGCATCAGACTAATTAATGACATTCTATTAAAGACTGGTTTACCAAGAGTGACACTGGAGTATTTTCACCTAAAATGAGTTAATGAAGCAAGAGTCTTCTTACAAAAATGATAATAGGACATCAGAGTCATAATTAATCTTTTAATACTTTTACTTTTGATACTTAAGTACATTTGAAGGCAAATACTTTTGTACTTTTACTCAAGTGGAGGCCTAAAGGGAGGAACTTCTACTTTTACTGGAGTAATATTTTACCTTGGGTATCTCTACTTTAACTCAAGTACATGATTTGTATACTTCGTCCACCACTGTATCTGGGCTACTTTACTTTTCATTTATTATGCATATATGTTAACACACTTTTGTTTTTAGCCAACCAACAACAATTCAGATTGAAAAGATTGTTTCATTTGAACTGGTTAAAAGTGCCATTGCTGAATGAATGCAAACAGTGCCCACTCCTGAATGAATCCAACCAGTGCCTGCTCTGAATGAATCCAACCAATGCCTACTCTGAATGAATCCAACCAATGCCTGCTCTGAATGAATCCAACCAATGCCTACTCTGAATGAATCCAACCAATGCCTGCTCTGAATAAATCTGACCAATGCCCACTCTGAATAAATCCAACCAATATGAATGCTAAATGGCTAAACACATACAGATGCAATCATCTCTTTTTCAGCAGGGTGAGGTTCCAGAATGTTTAGAGGTTATTTCTCCCCATAGTTTATCACATCAAATAGTTAAATCAACTTCACAAAGATTTTACATGAAACAATTTATATTTTCATCAAATTATACCACCAGAGCTCAGCTCTGTGGGGCAAGGAGATGACCCAAATGTGCTGAAGCTCTACTCTGGTTGGCTCTGGACAAATTTAACCCCTGAGTTTAACTACACAGCATGCATTGGTAACAGTTGAAAACAATAAAACTGTTCTGTCCAGTAGCTTATACAGGTTTTTTTATATTTAACCAGCAATACCAAGAATGGCCTGTAGTACCCCATATACAGGTGCAGTTTTCCTAATTACAACAGTGACCTCATCACATCACAGAACAAAATTGTCACTGAGAGCCATCAGGAAGATAGTTTCGGTAT